ACGTTGGTGGCCAGTGTCTGCCGCGTCATTATTTAATGATCCTATCATACTTATTCTGTTCCAAAGATTTGCTTAGTACAAATATATATTTTACGGTATTACCAAGGTTTCAGTTTATAGTTTTAGCCTGCGTTACTGGTAAACTTTTCCGATGTCTTCTTAATTTAAGCGAATTTTTCAAGGTGCACTTCCAGTGAAAATAGTAGTGCTTGGACCAAACCTATGGCATGTTTCATTATCTTTGTTTTTAACTAAAGTCGAGCTGAATAAGTTTGTCAAGGTATACCTATCGTCGTTTAGCCGGCGTTGCGGGGTACCTAAGCGCACGTCGGGGCACCGCGACCTCGGCAAAGAGCAGGAGAAGGAACGGGGGAGTTTTAAGTCTCTTATTGTTTTTGATAGTAAAATACTCTAAATACCAATATAATTATATTATTTATTTTAACATTTAAATAATTAAATTATTTATTTTAACATAATTAAATTATTTATTTTAATAATTAAACTAAGCAATAATTAAATTATTTATTTTAACATTTACACGATCCGGATTAGTTTTGCCGGCAAATATTAATACATATTATATAAAACATAACTTTCCTAATTCGGTTATTATAAAAAATAAAATTTTATGAGAGTACAAATAAAACTGACGATTCTACGACTAATAGAGATGTTGATGGCCGCAATCTGAAGGTATGTATGTTGAAATTCAGTAAAAATAAAGTGTTTTATTGCAAATAATTCAATAAAGTATTGAATTGCCAAGGTTTATGAGGTCCAGATTGAAGTATAATTAATTTACTAATTATTTCTTCAACCATATTATTTGATTTATTGTATATTGATCTCAATTTATAGTTGGTGAAGGAAAACATCTTGTGGAAACATGGACATATAATTCTTAACTATACGTTTGAACAAAATCACCAATTCCCAAACTTAAGCGTGCTTTAATGCTCAAACCTTCTCGGTGTGAGAAGAGGCCTTTGTTCGGCAGTGGGCACTTATTGGCTGATGATGTGATGTGTGATGGAGCTCTAAACTTTTTGTTATTAGCCTTGTGTAGATAGAGCTCAAAATTGCTTATCTGTTAACAAGTCATATTTGAAACTAATAACCATATCTTCTTCTTCAAAAATGAATTGTTGAAACTCGAAAAAGGCTGGACCGACATAGCTTATTGTGATTTTGAAATATTCCAGAATAAACAGGGAAGGTCTCTCAATCACTTAAAAGGCATAATTGCATATCCTAACATGATTACTACCTACATATGTGTACCAAAAAGTTTTATTGAATATTGTCATAATGAACACTTACAGGTTTTTGCAAAAGTGTTAGTTTTTTCTAAACTAATATTACAAAGAGATAAAGTTTGCATGTAGGGGTAATCTTCGGAACCACTGGTCAGATTTCCAAAAGTCAACGTCACTGATAGACAGCTGGAATGTCCCTGAGCGCTATAGGCTATAAAACATCACCACACACATCACCTTACGACCGATAGGAGCCGAGTAGCGGGTGTAACCGCTTGGTGGTGGCTACTAGTTTTAAATAAGATGACTCGAAAGTCTTATCAGTTTGGGGAGTTATTATATGACTTTTTCGATTTCAGGTGGGGCTAAGGGGAGTGTCAGACCAGATTGTTACTGGCTAAAACCATCCGGATCCATCTCGTATTACATTACTTGACCTAGAGGTATTTTTAGGCGCGTCATCCGGGTCTTAATCGCCCTAGTCTGATGACGGAATTGAACTTGGACTGCCTACTAGTGAAAAAATAGAGTTTGGGCTCACTAGAAATGTCTTTATCTCCTGATGACTAATATATATGATTAAACTAGCTTCCGCCGGCGGCTTCACCAGCGTGGTATGTTGATTAAAAGTAGCCATGAACTACGCCAGAATGTACCTATGCCTGCGACAAATTTCATCCGGATCAGTTTAGCCGTTTTAATATAAAATGGAACTATGTCAATTTTGTTTCTTGGTCCTCCTATCAATCGCTAGTAACGCTCTCCGATAAACTAAGGTCTATTAAATTTAGAAATCTATTTCAAGTTATTATGCTTCAAAATCAAGTTGATAATTTCACTTTACACATATTCATAAATCGCAAGATAAATAATAATAGTTTGTAAAAATGCGATCTCTAATCTGCCAGGAGGCCAGGAGTTGACTGTTCAGGTGACGCGTTTAATAGAGCCTATTATCATTTTAATCCAGCACAATTTTATTCTTATTTTAACTGGGTGTTTTCCCCATTCGAAAAGAAATTTTAATTGTTCATTAATTAATTTCACAACATACCTACCTACTTTATTTTCTATCTCTTCTAGCTGATTTTTAAGACATAAGTTTATCTATTTGACGTGAAAATGTAGTAACGTCACAAGTCATAAGTCTGTAACTGATACAAAATTCAAATAAAAGTATCGTTTTTTCAAATACCTACATTTCTATAAATAAAAGTATCTATAGAATTCCTAATATTGACAAACTCGATTTCGAAAGCGGATTAACTTAATCTTATTGACCTTTCTTGACTGTCACGTTTAAGACCGATCAACCAGCGAGACCAAAAGCTTACTTCCGTGCTTGGCGCTGTAGCTGAGTGGTCAGTTAACGTGTGTAGTTACGTGGCTTCGAGTCCCATGCAGAACAATTATTACTTTATCTAAACGTTGCCATTAATTTACTTTTTGTTTCTCTCTCTTGTGGATGTGTTTACAAATATTAAGTTTCATATACACATCACAGACACACACATATAATAATTTCTGGATCAAACAAAGAATTGTTCCTTGTTGGAAATCGAATCTACAACATATCAATGCGGTCAATTCAAATGTTTTATGTTATTCAAAAAATTCAGAATTTGCAATGGATATTGATGTGCCTTTTTATTTACACGTACAAAATCGTAGGGATTACGTTTAAAAATGTTTTTTCAACTAAGTAAACTCCATCTGTGTTTATTCCTTATGAAGTTTCATCTATATTCGTTTAACCATTTATAGATATACAACGACAAGAGGTACTAAACATTTCTTTAAACCCTTTTTTATATAAAGGTACAATTTGCATCATATTGCAGCGGTTAGTCGGTAACTTTGGCAACAGAAAACGAACAAAATAATGCGAAATTGTGGTAATTAACCATTGAGTAATTAAACAAAATTACCGTAGCAGCCTTACTCATTAAAATAATGAGCTTTAGAAAAAGCAATTATCTCTTATTAGATTAATTTCCACATTTTTTTTATATTTTTTTTTGTTTAAATGTTGCCTTGGTTTGTATGCATTTTTTACATAATTATTCGAATTTATGGTTGAAAGTGTATTATGTCCCTATAGGATTTATAATATCTATAGATATATGTCAGTTATTTTATGTATCCCGCCTTTATGTAACAAAAGCCTATAGTTATTGGAATTTGTTATTTAAGAAAATATTCTCTTGATATTGAACTCGCAGTCCCTTGGCTGAAAGTCGCGCTTACGACCAATCAACCTATGAGGCAACGAAAAATTATCATTCATTCATCAGAGAAAGAAGAGAAGAGGAAAAACGTATAAAAAACATCTAATTTATAAATCTGTTATTAAATTTTAGCTTTTCCAGCCTACTAGTGATGTGGTGGTGATAAACCTTTGTCGTTTTACATTCTTCTAACTATACCTACAATAATCTATAGTTGAAAACATTACAAAAAACGCTCTTAGTCAAAATTCATCATTCATCAAAAGTCATCTGTAGAAATGGACATATCCATCGAACCCAAACTCGATATGTTTACGAGTAGGTAGCCCAAGGTTCTTAGGTACCTTCGAATTCCATCATCAAAACAGCTGGGTGGTATCATAATATTGTATGATAACCTTATCTAATGAACAAGTCAAGTTTGAACTTATTTTCATTATAATCCACATAAAGTTTCATGTTGAAAGGAAAATCAGAAGTGTGTGTACTTCAATTTTTTTATAGGAATAGGAGGCAAACGAGCTTAGCTCAATCACATTAGCAGCCATAGGAATAATAGGCGTGTCACCGGTCTTTTAAGAAGACCTTTTAAGGTCGTATCGGTTCAGAAAAACCACAGCCGAAAGATTAAAATTTCATTTCATTTCCTTTATTTAACTTCATAGTTCGTAACAAGTTGACTTGAAGAAGTTTGTTAAAAGAGCAATGATGGAGTTTCTTTCTCGTTCTTCTCCATTCGAAACTACAATTTGGAACGAGCACCTAGCTTCACTGACTAACAGACTGACAGACTACTATTCTATTTTGACGTTTCTAAAGTACCTATTTATGGTTTAGTTGGAATGAATGATTTTGATTTGATTTGATTTGAAAGTTCGATTGCGTCGACGAAAACGCCAAGGTGACAGAAACTAATTTCGTATTGATAATAAAATTTTTGGCTTTGCATACAAAAAATCGTCTTTTAGTAAAATACTGACAATTTGTTACGTTCATCTGTGGCACTAACTACAAGGAACAGAATGTGTAAATATTAGCTAACATTAGTTTCTATAGACATTATTAATCATACATTGTATTAAGTATATATTATTATGATAGGCTCTGTCGAAGTTTCAGATAAACTAGAGAATTGACTTCTTTAAAAATGGTAGTCCTATTTATTGACGAATTCCTGAAAAGCTTACGGCTAACCGAACAATCATAACATTAGCTTCTTGTCAAGAAGTAGACGTCAAATATCTGGTATGGTGAAGGTGTGTTGCTAAGTTAACGAGCCAGTCCTCAACAACGAGGGTTCGACAAATAAGTAAAAAGGATAACAATAAACACGAAAGACCGCGATGGACTGGTCACTTTTGTAATTTTTAAGCTTCTTTAGCATGTTATTGTGATTTTCTGATTAATTTATCCAGCCAGAACTATGGTCTTTGTGGTTATGGTGTAATGTTAGATTATATTTAAGAAAATACTGTTACTTAAGTTTGTATAATAAGTTAACAGAACTCACCATTCATGAATTAAGCGTATAATGTGAAAATTGACTTGTATCTCGCCACGTCCATAACGGAGGTAGGCAGGATTGTTGCAAGCCGGCCAGCAGCTCTGCATGATACCTCTGCGCCGCCAAGAGATAGGGTGGTGGCAGCGGGAGAGGGCAGTGTGGCTGTATTGGTGGCGGTGGTGGTGGCGAGGGAGATGACCGTCTTGGCTCGGGCTCCAGTAGAGCGTCTATCGTGAAAGCTCTGCGTGGCCTTGGACCCAGGGGAAGCAGTGCAGTTGTATCTACTGAATCCGTCGGCTCTGGACTGGGTCGCGATATGAACGTTGATGCTGGGCTGTACATATTACTGCTGGGAAGCGAAGTAGCGGCTGGAGGCGCTCCAGCTTGCCGCGCCAAGAACGCTCTATTAAAACTAGCCAGAGCAGCCAATTCTGCATTCAAACTATCCTTTTCACCCTTATGCAGCTTGAACCTCTTGCGCCTCCTGAGCAGCGAGCCGTTCTCGAACATGTCGAAGGCCTGCGGGTGCAGCGTCCAGTAGGCGCCCTTGCCGGGCCGGTCCGGGCGGCGCGGCACCTTCACGAAGCAGTCGTTGAAGGACAGGTTGTGCCGCAGCGAGTTCTGCCAGCGCTGCGTGTTGCGCCGGTAGTACGGGAAGCGGTCCGTGATGAACCGGTAAATCTCCGACAGCGGCAGCATGCGCTCCGGGGAGCTCCAGATCGCCATCGCGGTCAGGGCTATGTAGGAGAAGGGTGGTTTTTGGTCTCCGTAGGACTCACGTGTCGGCCGAGGCATCGTTTTGCACAATATTGTTCTGTAATGTCAAGTTTGTCACCTCCGGAGGAAAAACTTGGGCGACACGTCTCTCACAGCGGAGTGGAAGATAAGGACTGGGTGAGTGAGCGAGACTGCGTGCGCGAGGCGGGAGTGGCCGCGCGCCGCGGTCCCGCCCTGCCCGCCTGCCGCCAATCGCGTGCCTCTAACTTTGTTTGTTGTTTTTGTCGGCTCCGGACCCGTTACAGAGGAATTTAAATTGTTATCACGTTTACATTATACAAAATTTATTCGACACCGACAACAGCTTGAGCTTGTTTCGAAATTGCAATGATTAAAGTAGTAGATACTTATTGATGGCGCGGGAGAGAAAGAGAGAAAGAAATTATGTCTATTGCTAACTCTTTAATACATTATTTTACTTCCAATAAAGAGCAGTGGCCCGATATAATTAACTAGACTAACGATACGAGGTCGTATTAATGGGCATTAACAATATGATAAATATGGAAGTGTTCATAATGATTTCGAAAACTTATAAAACTTGAAGATTGGAAAGTTAATAAAATTGTTGATCCAATACTTCAAGCCTTTACTTACTGTCTTGTATACGGTGTCTAAGTACCACTTTCTTGGCCTGTGCCGTGTAATTATATAGTTAAGTCAAGAAGATGATCAGCACCGATTAGTCAGTTTGAATCTATAAGTGGTTACACACAGTAGTGAGTAGGTACCTACGCTAAGCCGTGAGCAGTTACCTACAGTTTACAGTCATTATCTAGCTACATGCTCGAGCGCAAGACTTTGCACACTGCCTTCATGTTAGTCAGCTATACACCAAGATCATAGAATGTTTTTGTTTATTAATGTCTTTAGAGTTTTCAGTTATACACAATAGTTCTGAAATATTGATGATGTCTACGAATAGGTATTAACACATTTTTTGTTCATAAAACTTTTATCAAAGAACATCCATTTAAAAATAAATTTCAGTTGGTATAATTTTTTACCAATTTATTATAACTACCTATTTGTAATATACTAAAAGCGGCTAGATAGAGTCTTCACCACCTAAGTAAAATAATTTAAAAATTTTGGATTTTTCAACAAAAAAAGACTTACTAAATCTCGTTCAAACCAAACAGTTGTTGTGCCTTAAAGGCAGATAAACCTTACCTAAAAAATAATCTAGGTAGGTACTTAGATTTATGTGAATATTTAATCCCAATTTTCTATATAACCTTATGGTGTAAGGGTCATATGTATACTAAAGTTTAGTCATTTCTCAAATCTCAATTCCCTATCTTCAAATCGACGAAACTGCAACAGTCCACTTATGCGGATCCATGAGCACCAATTTGCTGACCATCAGTTCATTCATCTTCTTTTTTTCGGTGTTGAGGGGTAGGCGCAATGTGGCACCGCGGCCTCAGTCTAAACCAGGAGAAGGAACGGGGGAGTTTTTAGTCAGTAAGAGTCTGACACTCTCTCTCACCTTACCTGGGCGGAAAAGGTCATTTGTTGATTTTCCCCTGAAAAAAAAAAACATTAAGTCGTTTTTCGCATCCTATTAATTTTAAAAATGTGAAAGTTTGTGAGATTTATAGTCGTATGTTTGTTATTCTTTTACGGAAAAGGGATGGACTGATTTGGTTGAAATTTATATTAAGCTAAGTGATTAACTCAAATGCTATTTTTTATCCACCACGCGGGCGAAGCCACGATCGGAAGCTAGTTAAACCATAAAAAAGATATTCAGTTTGAATCAAATGAACAAAGTAGTTCTTCTACATGGATGGGGGACAATGTCCCGCATAGCTTAGATCTGCACTATGGCTCGGGGGTAAAATAATCGGGTTCCGTAACAGTAGACTAGACACTTCGAACACACTGCGAACTAGTTCTGGTGTAAATGATGACACGGTGCTTATTTAAATTAACCAAGGAGCTATACTTACACGGCGTGTCATCAAACGTTAATTTGAAAGTTAGCTTTATAGATTTTATCTTTATATCTTAATAATACCTACTAAAACGATAGTTTCCAACTAGTCAAATTCAATACTTTTATCCAAATGTCAAAAGCGACACTTTTCTATGAAATTTGTATGAAATACTGAGTTATGACGTCATAGTATTTTTACGTCAAATAAGTAGCTTACATATTTCTTAAAAATGAGATACAATATATCTAAAATTTAGTGTATCGATCGATGAATAAAAGTAGGGTATAGTTATTTTTCAATATTTTATGGTATTGAAATGTCGAATTAATTTATTTGTGACCAAGAAAACTACCCAATACGGTTGTTTCCAACTAGTCAAATTCAATACTTTTATCCAAATGTCAAAAACGATACTTTTCTATGAAAATTGTATGAAACACTAGCGGCCCGCGCCCGCTTCGCACGGGTGCAACTATCTCGCTATCAAAGGGTCACATTCTCCTAATCTTCCCCTCTACTTTTCTAATATTTTCTGTGATAAGAACCTTCTCGTGACAATAACAAACACAACAAAAAAAGAATTAGCAAAATTGGTCCAGGCGTTTTTGAGTTATGCGCTTACCAACACATTTCGCGATTCATTTTTATATTATAGATTGAATTATGACGTCATAGCATTTTTGCGTCAAATAGCTTACTTATTTTTAAAAAATTAGCTAAAAAATATCTAAAACTTAGTGTACCGATCGATCGATGAATAAAAGTATAGTTCTTTTTCAATATTTTATCGTATTAAAACGTCGAATTAATTTATTTTTGACCTAGGAAACCACCCAATTGTGTTTTGAAAGATAAGTTTAAATACCTTACCGGATATTGACTCTATCATAAATATAGACTGCTTTTTAAAGGATAGCGACAAAAATGGTAACCTGATGGTAAGCAATCAGCGCCGGAAATACACAACACGATATGAGGAAAAAGAGTTCAATACGTTGCCAGCCTTTTAGGGGAATTTGAGATATGGGGATTAAGGGATTGGCATGTAACCTCAATCGTACAGAGAAACGTAAAGTGTTTCATGTTCGGTGTATCTAAGTTGTAATCAAACAAATGCAAAAAACAAAAATGAAACACTAACTACATGGTTAGTTGGGCGACTAGCTAGCGAGCAACGTGTCGCGGGTTCGATTCCCGCACGGAACAACTCTTTGTGTGTTCTATAAATAGTACCTAACTAAAAAAAATGGTTAGGCAAATGCTCAACTTCTAATTAAAATATAATAATATATTTAAAGAGAACACAATGCAAATTATGTTAATCAGAATTATCAACAATTTTCCTTTTAAACTGAGTCAGTATTTAACATGAATTACAAACTGAACCATTATGAAATGAATGAAATAATTAATTTATAAATAATGATTGCTTACAAAGTTGCTGATATGTAAGTACCTACGTATATATGAAAACTGAAGCATTTTAAATGAAGACATCAATATGGTAATTAAAGAATTTTTAACGAACATTTTACGAGTGTTTGCGATACCAGGACAACATGCTTAATAAGAGGTTAATGAATCGTCAAACGTAACGGACTTTAAAAGGTGTACAAGTATAATAATATAATTATTGTATCTTGTCATCGATGTTTCGCGTGCATGCAAATAACAAAGTTACGGCCGTATTTATTAGGTTCAAATACCTGTAAATCTAATTTATTTGGTCATTAAATACCGTAGTTATCTAGTAATTGAAATAAAGAGATTATATATTTATATATATATATAAGTAATTGAGAATTTTAAAAAATGTTTAGAAATATAAATGAATCTTGTATATTCTTTTTTCTTCATAAAATAACTTTGGCCCACTTTAGGTTTTTCTCCTGTGTCGTGTTTACAAACATACAATTTCACATACCACCCAAACCTGGCACAAGAATTTTTGGTTCATAAAAAGAGTTGTCCTGTGCGGGAATCAAACCCGCGACACGTTGCGAGGCAGCCGGTTGCCCAGCCACCGTGCCAACCATACAGTCGACAGTGCTGTAGATATACATATATATAATACAAAATATTTTTTGTGTGAATTGATCTATGTTATAGACCAGTTAGCAGACATACATATAAATCTAAATATTTGCGATGAATATCAGTTGTTATTATTTTTAGCCGTTAGAGATTAACAATAAACTCTAAAATCTGTTTGAATTCTCGTTAGGTCTTTTTCGTAGAAATATAAACTTCTGGTGAGTAAAGAAACCGAGAATATGTTTAACTTTCGAAACTATTTTCAGACATTTACATTTAGTTAAAATATGAAAATAATTTTACTTTGAACTTTGACGAAGCCATGTGGAATGTTCCTCGTGCCTGACAGTCACGCTTCCCATCACCTCGTTACCCCAGCAGCATGGTAGCAAAAAGCACAAACAAGCTCATGTGACTTGATTAAAAAAATCTAATCTGGTTCGTACACCTCGACTTGCGTATGTGGTAAACTAGGTTCACTCACGTGCAGTTTTTTCATTTTTTATAATATGATCTCGGGAATCACGTCATTTGTAAGTAAGGCTTTATGTTTCATCTCGCCGCCGATAGATGTAATAGAGGCGAGCATGGTCGTCTCAATCTGCAGGCTAACCACGTCTCGCCAAATTGTCGGCGTCTTCGCAAATAGCTCCATTAAATTCAATCGGTCGTAGCAACAAGACAGAAGCGTCACTTACCCGTCTCCTATATAATTTAGAGATATTAACGTAACACATAAGCTGCAGGACCGCATCCTGGGACCTTGTGCTTTGTATTCCAAATATGTCTCGTCTGCTATCGGCAGGACCGCTTCGTGCCCCAGCAGAAACGTTACAGCTGTAATAAAATCTAAAATGGCCACTTTGGCAACAATAAGAATCCCAGCCCGAGACGAATTCAGTTTATTAATGTATGCTTGCGTGTGATTATAGCACAAACGTCTTTGTGCATGCATGGATATTAGAATGTTTTAATCTCAATAGTATTTTGTTGCATTACACATATTATTAACCTTTTACCAAGGCATAAATAGGCAGGCTGTAGCCGCTGCATGACGCGACTTTTTAACCGACATAACTACATTATTGGGATCAATAGTATCTGTATCCGTTGAAGTTACTAACGTTTTTATATTAAACATGGAAATATTAAAAACTTCTTAGCATTTGCCAAATCATTGCCCGACATCCTAAATATCATTGGTTGAATTGACTTCTAAGAAATATTCTGTTAGTTTTCAAGTCTTAACAATATGTGTTTTCCACTTTGTCCCTTAAAAACGTTAGGTTCACAACAACAATGTTAGTTGAATAATATTTTAAAAAGTAATCAGTATGACGGGACATATTCGGTTATAAATCATGAAGTAAAAAGTTTGTAAAATTTCCGTCACAAGCAGTGCGCAGGGGTGCCACACAATCGCTACGGCATTGTACTGTCTTTTAGTCACGGGGGAAGGCAATTTTACAGACACGTCACGGTTTACACTGCGACAAACTGTACGATTAAATAGTTATTTAAAATTATTTCACACAATGCAATTAATAACAACTGTATCATTGTTGTATAAATTCAATTACAATCCTTTTATTGGTAACCCTATTCGAAAGCGGAATGCGAAATTATTTGCTGTGATGTTCACTTTTTGACAAATTTAAAAAGGAATTGACACGCATTTTATATACTTTTGAATCCAAATTGGGGTGAATACATAATTATTTAGTTTAGTGACTTTCATAAAATATTATTTATTCATTAAATATTTTTTAAAGGAAAAAAAGCAAACTGGCCTTTTAATTGTTATTATAATATTAAATTGTTATTATAATATTATATCACTAACATTTTTTTTAGAAATTAAATTGTTTTTAATGGCTAATTATACACTTTGCTGGGTAGACTTATTATATTTTTAATTTAAACAATTTATAATATATACATGACTCACATGAAATTCCTTTTGTTGTTACAGATCTCACAGCGAGACGAAACATGGTGATTTCGCTCCCAGGCTCTAACTAAAACAATTACAGATAGCCATTTAAATTCGTTCAGCAGTTTTGGGTGATGAGCGAACAAACAAAGGAACACGAAAACAAAACGAATCGATATCTGAATCACTTCTTTATTTAAATAATGGGATTGAAGTTTATGGGAAACTTACACGAATACGGCCTCCTTGATTGAATGCTCAAAATAGTAAGGCCTATTGCACTGGGTTTGATTTTTTATATTTTGTGTAGGAGAATTTAGAGCTGAAAATTCTTTCGCCACTAGAGAAAAACTTTACGCAGGTATTTTTAAAAACATTATCGATTAAGGAAAATAGCAATTCGGTGCTTCCAATATTTTTTAGAAATTAATAGGTTTCTACATAACGCAGAATTTAAACAACAATTAGTAAAATGTATTTGCAAAACGACTCACACAGCACTTATAAGAAAACAATTTTCACGATGATTCTTTATTTCAATATAGAAACCTTGTGAAAAAAACGATGTAGAAACGATATGGTTATTATCTCAGCGATCGCTGTCACCTGTTGCAATATCCCATGGAGTCAATCATAGCACCTCGCTCACAATCTCCTAATGATAGTCCTTTGTGGTCGCCGCCGCCTGGACAAGGCGGAAAAAAAAATGAAACACTTCAACCTTGTTATTAAGTGTGAATTCTACAAATTGTTCACAAATATTTGCGTCTACCTGAGGCTTTTTACATTTGTTACATTTGCCGTGACTGAATCAAGGACGTCATAAAATCTCTATATGATTAACCACGGTGAATTAACGATGGTACTTTAATACATAACGTATCTAACACGGATAGTTTTAATTGATGCCGCCTCTGAGATCCTGGAATATTTAAAATTCGTTCTACGCATGTGCAGGTTTTTGAAGGCGCTTTAGTATTTCGACTGGTTTGGAGAAGGCGTCTAAAAGAAATCTTTACTATATACTAGGTTATTTTAAGAGATTGACTAGATCTTAACTAGGGTCGTGTGGTTGTCATGTGACTTTATATGACGTGATTGATGTTGTTATTCTAAATTTTATTATTTTTGTCAATTAATATTTTGTTTTTATTATCACTTTCGTGAGACATTCTAAATTAATAATTATGTTTTCGGCTTACTCACGTAATAATTCGACGAGATACTCGACTAGTTTCAAGGCATGCTAGAGGCTCATATTCATGAGCAGCATTCCGCGACACGCGACTCGGCGAGTAGCAGCGCGACAGTCGCCATCGAAAACATAATAATTAATATTTTGTTTTTCTGGACGAGAGATATTATTTCTTACTAAACAATATTATAATAGTGATTATACTAATAGATTTTTAAACTAAACGTGTATACGAAAGTTGGAAGTGTTCTCTGTGATTTGTTATGTCGTAAATAGTCAAACGCACATCTGACTGTTTAGCAGGTTATTTTCTAATACTCGTATAACGTCCTTTTTATTGAGTGTAAATAATTGAGTTTGTATCAACGCCGCGCCGCCATCTGCTTGCTGGACTTTTAACACTCCTTTTCGGATTTCCCACTTAACTTTAATGCACCTATAAAATTTAACGTTTTTTGAGAATACAAATGAAATTGTTTCTTATTTGCATTTATCAAAATCGAGAATCGCTCGCCTCCACAAATTGTATATCACTTCGTCGGGATTTAAAGAAACTTTATTCTGGCTGGTATTTAGTGTAATTCGACATTAGTCCTTATACGCCACTGCTTAGATACATTTTTATTTGGTTTGTGTCGGCCGGTATCTCTGGATGTGCTGCCGCGCGAGATCGGTTATTACAATATTTGTTGTTGAAGGTTATTTATTTGACTAGATGTCAGGGCTTATGTCGTCGGCTCCGAGTGTTGTCGAGACGGTGGCATTGATCTCCTTGCCTCGCTATTGAGATTGTAAATCTCTTGGATACGATTCAGTTAGCATATCAGAGGGATTATAGATCCCTAAATAAGGATTCGGCTTGTCTGTTTGTCTTGTCATATTTGAGCGCGTTTTGTTAGACTATCATTGCTTGTGACTGTGTACAATGCTCCAGAGCATATTAGTGTGCAATTTCAAATAATATCGCATGATTTTCTGAATGTAATACATCCAATATTGGAGAAACATATTTATCGTTTGCTGTATATTTTAAAATTTTATGCCCTTTATACCAACAATACGATACATTTTATTGGCGTGTGGAGTAATGGAATGCCTTTTGAGGCGATATTTAGGAATAAATGCAACGACAGTTCGCATTCAAATATTTTGCGATCCTGTGACTTATAATGGTTGGTTATTTATTGCGATTTCAATAAATCATCGGTTATAGATGTTTTGCGTTTTCAGTAGCTCTCTCTGCGTAGTACGATTTGTGTGTACGTATGTAAATCGTGTTTGAATGTGTTGAGTATTGTTAAGTGTGTGGTCAATGTATTAAGTCGAATAATGGACGCAATCTTGTCGTTGATTATTAAACGGTCGGACACAATGGTCTGATAATCGGTCCGATCGGCCCCGGGGCGATTACCATTATTATTTGATATTGTTGTAGTACCTTTTACAAGTCAGGCCTACTGGCCACCAACACATGGCGCTGTCGCTTGAGGCCACGCAACTTTTATTCTCACCGCAAAATTAATTTAATTTTCTATCATTCAAATTATATAACAATGGTGGAAATAAATATATACATAGGTATATTACATGTGTACCTACTTTCAACAATTCATGCGCTTCGCTTATGTAACAAAGATTTCAAAAAGAACTAGACTAGACTTTGAATATATTTGAATTTAATTTAACAATGACTAAACTTGCAATACAATGATAGATCACTTGTGCTATTTTGGTCGTGTAAACAAACGTTTACCGTAAGCCAATGAGCCGGATACAGCGCATACAGCGAGAGCGCCGGTATCTAGATGTAGAGATTGTAACATTACGCTACACAAAAGTGCGATAATCTCCTAAAAGGTGTTCGTAGTGTTGTAGATAATTAATATTTAGAGTCGGGCGGCGCCCCGCGGCGCACGCGCACCTCGCCGCTTTGTGCCGCGCCGCCGACACCCGCATTTGTCATGTTAGCGCGCACCAAGGTGTGAATGACTTTTTTCTAACCATTATTAATGACAATGATAGAAAATATTGTTTTTTGTTGCAACACTGTTGATTGTTGTCAATTAGTTTTTTGTTGCATCACGGACTTTTGATTATGAGCGTGGCCGATCGATTCAATCGGATTTGAATTGAATGTTTGGATTAAAATATGGCGAGCTTCATTAAATCTTTTGATATGATTGAATACCGACGCTTTTGTGTCGGAACAGTTAAACAATGGGTTAAACATATTGGAAACCTATAGTTTCATGTAGTCGAACCGACGTAATTACTTCATCGGATTTTTATATCAGAATTTTTCTTGATAGGTCTGCATAAACCAATGTCACTGCCATTATTTTCTTCACAAAGCGCAATATTTCTAACAGGGTCGGTTACTTGTTTTGTTACTTAAAAAATGAGCTAAATCACGGAGCCAAGGAGGGTGTGAGGTCGGTTCCCCTTCGGCTGCGGCCGAACAATGAATAATAAGCAGCAACATCATCTATCCATTTTCCTTTGCACCCTAACAATAACAACGACGTTAAAAGAATGGGAACAATCGAAATTTAAATATTTCAAGAAAAATACGAAAATGTTAAATTGAAGTGAGTTGTATTATTGTATAGGCGAGGGGATTTGTATGGACTATATTGGCGTGTTCTCCACTCGTTTCATATTGCTCTGAGCACCTATTCATTATTGTGTATTCAGTACATATATAATCTTAGAACGAGCTTAGCAATCTTACTTATGTTTTTTTGTATATTTTAACTAAAATAACTTTTAGTAGGTTGTATATCAGTATCAGCACCTTTATGCACTGTTGACACTAGATAATGACTAATAAATGTATCATAGACTAATGTTTTATGTTATTCCCATATACGGAACTTAGTACTTCTTCGGTATAATAAAACAACACACCCAAAAATACTTAAAATA